TTTTGGGCAGTGTAGAGTAGGGCTTGTTGTTTGTCATTTCTCCGATCACAAATGCACACATGGTTTTATGTTTACGCGGCGCGATGCAACGCATAAAAAGACAATATAAGTCATTATAATCCATAATTATGTCCCCACGGCATGCAACAAATGCCTCGTTTATAATGGGTTTTAATGTTTTTTAATCATCGCTCCATCACAGTATGTGAGGGGCGTAACATTTCCCTCACACGCTGGAGGTATTCGGCCAATCACAACGCACTGGATAGCTGGCCAATCAGAGCACACCTCGCTTCTCAGACCGATGAGCTTTGTAAAAATCGACGCGTTTCAGAAAGGCGGGGCATAGAGGAGAAACAATAATGTACAGTATGTGGAAAATAATGTGTTGAACCTTAAACCGCATAAACACATTTCATTACACCAAACACACAAAATACTGTTCTTTATAGCAGCATCATATGACCCCTTTAACATGATGTTTGTCCTGGTGTCCTCTACAGAAGACACGTATGAAAATTATGCCAAGTCATATTCTGATTTGAAACCCCATCACATTTTTCCGAGATGTTTATTTACGACAAACAATTTGAAAATTAGTCCGATTTAAATGATTATTACAAAATATTATCATATTTCCCTAAGAGTGCCAAATCTGATCAATCTGTCAATATCAGTCGTATTTAAAGACCAAGGAGAGGGAGTTTATGATCAAACCTCCAAACATTTTGGGATCTCTGAAAAGCCCTGAATGTGCTCGGTATCCAGACTCAAAACTGTGGCATGTAGAATTTGCACTCCAAGGGCAATTTACCATGGTACATGTCCAGAATAGTGAGGCGATTTTAAAATATTTGTAAGCATAAGCTACATCCATCTATTCGATCTGTATAGTTACACTTTGATTTTATTTATATTAGGTCAATTCAGTAATGCCAAAGGTCAGTGCTACATATACATTCAAATATATTAGTACATTTATGAAGTATATACAGTTTTCTGAGCTAAAAGGGAACGTTCTCAGAACGTTCTGGCAAGGTTCTCTCAAAGTTAAGAAGAAACATTCTTACAGTAATGTCAATAGAACATTCGTTCAAAGTTATCTGGTCTTTAATAACGTTATCGAGACATTATCACAATTTATACATCATTCATGGAACTTTTTTCTGAAACATTTTAGTTGGACGTCACTTCTTGTTTCAGAACATTTAGAAAACATTCCGAAGTAACGTTCTCGTAATGTTTGCTCACAAAATGATAAAATTGAACATTCCCTTAATGTTTTTTTTGTTCCAATGTTAACATAACCAAGAAAAAACATTTTAAAAACTGGATGTTTTGAATGAATGAAGTTTCAAACAACTTTTTCATAACTTAATGAGAAAGTTAGCAAAAAGTTCTTGGAACATATTTTTGTTAGCTGGCTTTAAAGCGTTTTATAGCATAAATACACACACATACATGTGTGTGTCTTTAGGATGAATTACTGAAACCTGATGAGTCTGAATGGGATTCACAGCTGAAATCCCCAACACCTGCCTAATGCCAACATATTTCAAACTAGATTAGTCTCTGTCAGTGAGTGTTTTCTAAAATAAACATAAATAAAGATGAATAAGTTTCATGAAGCAAATGCTTTGCGGTTTGTTTTTGCTATGTTTTTTCGCCCATCTGATTGACTTGACACAGTAACTACAGCAGCACACAGACAAAACAGCTCATTATACTCGATTAAAATAGAAATGCTGTGATCCAGTGCTATCCCAACCTTTTTTTAGTCGCGGTACCCTTTGGAAATTTTAATAAACTTGTGGCACCCTACAAAATTAATTTTGTCGCAATATTTGAATTTCTAACTTCGATATGATAATTTGAAAAGTGTAGATATTCGGTACAACAGGGAAGAACTGCAGAATATAATGTCATACAGATATTTTTAATATTATTAAAAAATGTTGTCCATCAATGGTGGCAATCAGTAGGCTAATTTCTAATGAAGAGACCAATTTATATGACAGATTTAATGTAGGCTTTTATACATATGTAAACGTTATTTAATTACCATTATAACTAGCTAGCTCACAAATTTGTGCTCACTCAGTGTTTTTTTTATTTTACAGTGGGGTAATTTTGGTGCAGTTGCACGAGACAGCTTGATTTCAAACTTTGAATTTAATACAAAATGACAAGTAAGCAGTCAGTATTATATAATAGATGCTTTTTTTGAACATTTTAGCATTTTAAAAATATATATTTTTTAAAAATTAAAAAAGGATTTTTTTACACGGCACCCATGCTCTCGACAGACGGCACCCCGGTTGGGAAACACTGGTGTAGATGATTTAACCCTACTGTTTTTTTTTAATCCAGTACTAATTTTGTGTTGGGGTCAAACAGACACCCATTGGTTTCCATGACAAAAAATAAATAAAAAATCACCAAATTGGCAAAAATCATATCTAAAATTTGTGTAAAAACAGAAAACCTCTGTTATAGCTTGTCAGTTACTGAAAAAATTAAATATGTGAGAAATGTAATAATTTCCTATTTTTATTGTGTAATTTTGTTATATTGTGTTAGGGGCCAGTTTTTCAGGGCCGATGCGATCAAGTAGACCGATAACCGATATTTTGAATCGATATATATGTCTGGTGTAAAAATAAAAATAAATGTCAAAATTAAGAATAACAAGGGCTCTGACAAAAACGTTCTTTAAATTATTTTATCAGCAAATCGGTTTTGAAAAGGACTGATACCGATAAGCATAAAAAAGCTTAATATCGGCGCAGATAATCGGTCAACCCCTATTTCATATTTTAGTTTTTGACAAGTTACAATTTTTTTTTTTACCTGATTCTTTAGTGTTTTTCAAAGTGTTGATTTTTGGCAAATTGCATGGACACCAGTGAGGGTCAATTTGAGGTCATAACAATTTCTGTACAGCCTTTCCAAAACACATCTATGTGTCTAAACTTTGCATGCACATTCATGACCCTAAATGAGAAAAAGTCACCAAATGTTAAGAAGAAATGAAGTTTAACCAATTAAAAAAGGGTCAGACTGACCCAGACACAACAGGAAAATGAATTTGTAGGACTTTTACATCTGTATGTAGGATTTTCTCAGCGGACTCCACTAACAATAACATTCATAATTACAATCCCTTGAATGCTTCCTTTCCCACAGGTCTCATTTGCCAATTTCCTTTTCCTTTTTGAGTTGTTTTGGTTCTTACCATGAATATTTTAGCACTATTTATGGCTGTATCTTTGTGCAACATGATGTTTTGTTGTTGTTTTGTAAGACTGAAATAGCTCCAGTGTTTGAGAGCAGATTGTTTCTAGATTGAATGAATGACAACGTAACAAGAAAGAATTCAACTTTCCTTCATCATGATTGATACGATCTCCTGCTGAAAACAAAGTGCATGTGCTTTAGCATTTGAAAAACGTCTGGAAATGTAGTCTAAGCGTGCACATCTGTTTTAGTGAAGTGTTGAACAGTCATTGTACAAGCTATCAAAATGTGCATGACATTCCTTACAAAACCACTGAAACATTTCCTCATTCATTCTTCACTAAACTGTATTCATGTTAAATCTGCTTTAAAAAGTCCGATTTTTACAGTCCAAGTTGTAGCTGGTCAGGTTTAATAATCTGTTATGGTGCATGTTTTAATGTACAAAGATGACTGTAATTAAACCACATGTAGGTTAATTGCCAAAAGAGTTTTGATACTCTCCATGTGCCTGAATATGTGTAAATCCTCACTATATAGCAGTATTTACATCTATGCATTTAGCAGACGCTTTTATCCAAAGCAACTTACAGTATGTGATCATATATTGACGTACACAGCATTTCTGAAACAATAGGGGAACAATACCAGGATGAGCCACCCGGAAACCTCTTTGAAAACAATCATTATTTTTAGCAATTCTCTTGGGTGACGTTGTAGCACAGAAACGCCACGCTTCAGCTCTAATATAGGATCAGTGAATCTGGTCAAGTATAAGAGCAAGATCACAAGATCAGGCTTTTGAGTTTGTCTGATTTCATTTCGGCTATGCTGAATAGACTATAGTTACTGCTCATTCTGCTGTAGGGAGAGTCTTTCTAGGACACTACATGGAGACTTTGTTGCTTTATCCTCTTTAATATCTTGTTATCTACAAAATAAGTCAAAATCAGCAGTTGATATGTATGTTTTGTTGATGTTTGCATTGCATTGCAAGTTCAGAGTTTTGACCAGTTTTTAGTTTTAAGATAGTTTCTGTGTTTTTACACTTGTGTGTGTACGTATGTGGGTGTTTGGCAATGGACTTTATTCTCTAAACAAACACAAACACCAACTCAGTTTCTGTTGATTTCAGTGCCCGTTTCATTTCATGTTTTTATATCAAGGTTTCAGTAAGATAGGAACTAATGTAGCTCTTTTCAACACACAAATGTGCATTTATTTTATATTTTATTTCATTTTATTTGAAATAATTTTTTTATTTGAAATATAAAGAGATAAAAAAAAAAACAAGTGGAAAAAAATCTAGTGTGGTTTTAGTTACTTTTATTTTATATAATACTATTAATATTATTTATTAATTAGTTTTAATTAATATTTGTAGTGTTTTAGTCATTTTGTTGTGTGTTTTTGTCATTTTTATTAGTTGTTTTATATTTATATGTCTGTATAGTTATTTTTTTATATTTAGGTATTTAATTTCAGTAAGTTGCCAAAGCAAAATGTCTTATTTTTGTTTAGTTTTTCAATCAAATCTGGCTCTCATTAAAATTTGTTTTTATTTTATTTTATTTTATTTTATTTGCCTATTGTATCCAGTAGTTTTTATTTGACTGAACTATAGCGATCCTAGCGAATTCAGATTCTGATTCCTCTTCACGGTTGTGTTTTCTTGATTTAACAAGTGGAAAAAAATCTAGTGTGGTTTTAGTTACTTTTATTTTATATAATACTATTAATATTATTTATTAATTAGTTTTAATTAATATTTGTAGTGTTTTAGTCATTTTGTTGTGTGTTTTTGTCATTTTTATTAGTTGTTTTATATTTATATGTCTGTATAGTTATTTTTTTATATTTAGGTATTTAATTTCAGTAAGTTGCCAAAGCAAAATGTCTTATTTTTGTTTAGTTTTTCAATCAAATCTGGCTCTCATTAAAATTTGTTTTTATTTTATTTTATTTTATTTGCCTATTGTATCCAGTAGTTTTTATTTGACTGAACTATAGCGATCCTAGCAACTCAGATTCTGATTCCTCTTCACGGTTGTGTTTTCTTGATTTTTAAGTGCTCTCCTGCCTAAATAATTAGCTCTATATACTACACAAAAACTTTATTAATTGCTTTATTAATTAAAAAAATATGATTAATTGCTTTATTATAACTGTGTATTTGCCTATTGTATCCAGTAGTTTTTATTTGACTGAACTATAGCGATCCTAGCGAATTCAGATTCTGATTCCTCTTCACGGTTGTGTTTTCTTGATTTTTAAGTGCTCTCCTGCCTAAATAATTAGCTCTATATACTACACAAAAACTTTATTAATTGCTTTATTAATTAAAAAAATATGATTAATTGCTTTATTATAACTGTGTAACCTAACATGATTTCTGTGAGTGAACTGACCGATTCAAATGATGACTCCAGTCTTCAAAAAAGATTTTTCAAGAAGAACTTGTTCACAAGAGTCATTTGTTTGTGAATCAGACTACACTGATCACGCTGTATGTTTGTTGTTGAATGCAACTGAAAGATATCATTGTATTATGTTTCTGCATCTATTCTTTCTCTCATAACATTCAGACTGTTAACTCCTAATTCAGTGGTGCTGTAGATTTAATCATTGGTTCCCATTGGCAGTATCTGTTTCTCTCTCTACTATCTCTCACATTTAGATCAACACCAATGGGTTTGTTGCCCTGGAGAAGCCAGCAGGAGAATCCGAGTATCTGGGCAACATGCCGGCTGGTTTTGGGATGATCGCTGCTCTGCAGGGCGACCTGGACACCAGCAACGGAGTAGGAAAGGTGTTCTTCCGCCAGGACTCCAGTCCGGCTCTTCTACAGCAGGCGGCCGATCACATCAACAGAGCCTTCCCCGAGGATGACGTGGTGAACCCCATCCACGCTGTGGTGGTCACATGGGTGGATGTGGCGTCCCATCGGGCTGAGAGCAGAGGAGACGGACTGGAGCACACCGGAAGAGTGAGGTTCAGTTTATTTGTGGGCCATTCACACATTTCAGCATGTGTTTTTCATTGATGTATTGTTGGACTTTTCTACTGCTGGTTGCCTTGCATTATTGGTAGGCTGCATAACACACCATAGCTTTCGAAAATCGAATCATAGCATCTGCGTTCGGATATGTTTTGGGCCTAAGAAAAATGCATCATATCACAATTATCAATGCATGTGTCAAACTCACCTGCACTGCAAAAATCATCTTCCTAACGAGCATTTTTGCCTGATTTTCCAGTTAAAATATCAAATAAATTAATTAACTTGTTTACAGCATAATTAAAGTAATTGCTTACGATTTTAAGGCTTCATATAGATTGTATTTTGAATATATTAATATAATGTATTTCACTGGGCCAGATCTTTTTTTTTTACTTCTTTTAAATATAACATTTTGTTAAAAACAAGTGGAAAAAATCCAGAGTGTTTTTTTGTATAATTTATATACTATAACAGCTTTTTATTAATGTTTTGAATTCGTTTTTTTATATTGTGCTTTTATTAAAATTTTTGTTAAAATTTTGTCATTTTGTTGTCTTTTGACACTTTTATTAGTTTTGGTTTTATATATCTAGTTATATTTGTTATATTATATACTTGTTTAAAGCATATTTAAAGCATAATTTTTTAAAATAATTTTGCACTGGCAGATCATTTTCATTTTTTTTAAATATAAAAGAGTTAAAAAATACTGGGGGAAAAAATCATGTTTTATTTTAGTTTAATTAATATACTATTATAATTTGTATTAATATAAGTTATATATAATATAAGTTTAGTTTTTTTATTTTTATATTTTGTTTTCATTTTAATTTTAGTTAACGTTTTAGTAAAAAAAAATTTTTTTCATTTTTATATAATAATTTTTTTTTATATTTAACTTATAATTAAAGCATAATTGCATAATATTTTAAGACTTCATAGGTATTAAATATGTAAATATATTTTCCACTGGAAGATCTTTGTTCACTTCTTTTAAATATAAAGAGTTAAAAACAAGTGAGGATAAATCCAGTGTATTTTAGTATGTTTAATATAATGTTTTTGAATTTTTATTCATATTTTGAATTGGTTTTTGTAAATTTTTTTTGTTGTTGTTGTGTTTTTGCCTTTTTTAATATTTATGTTTTAGTAAATTTAGTACTTCGTTTTTAGTACTTCAAGTTTTTTCAATCAGATCACCGTTATTTTTATGTCTGAATAATTTTTAATTAATATTCAGTTTAAGTTTTGGTCATTTTAATACTTTAACTTGAACTACACAAAAAAGAGAAATGTTGCTTTGGCAACTAACTGAAATAAGTTCTGATGGCTTTATCATTGCATCTTGCTGTGTGTGTGAATTATAGATATATATATGTGTATATTATTGAGTCATGGATTTAATTGATTGGATAAAAAAACACTTAATGAGTTAATAACTCCTGTTCTTTATCCTTATAGCGAAATACGTTTCAGCTGGTCATCGCTTCTCTGGAGACGATGTCCTTTGCGATTCTTCTCTACCCGAGAGAGGCGATGCAGTTCCAGAGCACCGGCAGCAGCTACACGATGCACGCCGGCTTCAGCAAAGGAGAAAAGACTAACTTATTCCTTTCGAAGAAGCAAGGACCGTACTATCGCATCACAGACGACACCGAGGCGTCTGTCAAGAAATTAGCTGAGTAAGTTTGGTTGCTGTTAGTGCTGGAGTTCACCTAAATGTAAATATTCTCATCATTTACTCACCCTAACAATGCTCCAAACCCACATCTCTTTCTTTCTTCTGAAGCGACACTCCAAAATGGACCAAAAAACACCATAATTCTCCTTAAACTAACCATAGAAGTATAGTGCAGACAGTAGCTTTATGTAGAATGAGATTTGAGAGCTGCAATAGAGGAGAATTGCAATGCATTATAACATACGAGTCGAATGAACTGCAAAAATATTTTTTTTTTCCTTGATCTTGTGTTTTTGTCTTGTTTTCCATTACAAATATCTGACCATTCTTAAAGTGCCCCTATTATGCCATTTTTAAAGTTCCTGATATTGTTTTGGGAGTCTCCTACAATAGTTTTACATGCATGTATAGTAAAAATTGCTGTAGTTTTCTCAAAATATGCATTTAATATCACCTCGGTTTCCAATGATTCTCAAAGGATTCGTTCGAAGCAGTTCTGAGATTCAGTCTCTCTAAACCCCTCCTTTCCATGAGCCTGCTCTGCTCTGATTGGTCAGATGGCCCGGTCTGTTGTGATTGGTCTACCGTGTACCAAGATTGGGGTTGTTCTGCTGTTACAGTGGAGAAAATGAATTTTAACCACTGATTATTTGCAGCCTCGTCATTCCGAAGTGAAAATAAAACAAATTTACTTCCACAGCGTCTTCTCGACATGAGTTTGAGGGCGGGGTCAAGCTGTTCACGGCCGGCCAGCGTAGAACATAGGCGGGCATTACGCAATTATGTAGAATGAGATTTGAGAGCTGCAATAGAGGAGAATTTCAATGCTTTATAACATATGAGTCGAATGAACTGCAAAAAAACATTTTCTTGATCTTGTGTTTTTTGTCTTGTTTTCCATTACAAATATCTGACATAATAAGTGCCCCTATTATGCCATTTTTAAGGTTCCTGATATTGTTTTGGGAGTCTCCTACAATAGTTTTACATGCATGTGTAGTAAAAATTGCTGTAGTTTTCTCAAAATATGCATTTAATATCACCTCGGTTTCCAATGATTCTCAAAGGATTCGTTCGAAGCAGTTCTGAGATTCAGTCTCTCTAAACCCCTCCTTTCCATGAGCCTGCTCTGCTCTGATTGGTCAGATGGCCCGGTCTGTTGTGATTGGTCTACCGTGTACCGAGATTGGGGTTGTTCTGCTGTTACAGTGGAGAAAATGAATTTTAACCACTGATTATTTGCAGCCTCGTCATTCCGAAGTGAAAATAAAACAAATTTACTTCCACAGCGTCTTCTCGACATGAGTTTGAGGGCGGGGTCAAGCTGTTCACGGCCGGCCAGCGTAGAACATAGGCGGGCATTACGCAAATGTGTTTGTTACCGAAGAGGGATTCCAATTACTGAGACTATAACTTACTTGGGAGACTATAACTTTATTTATGATGCACTTTCGGCTTTACAGCTTTGCAGATCGTTTACATTCATATACAGCTACATTACAAACTGCATGAAAGGCAATATTTGAAATGCATAATAGGGGCACTTTAAACTAAGATGCACTTACTTATTAAGCACAAATACTTAAGATATTAAGTCTTGTTTTCTGAAATTGTTTTTCAAAATGAAGTGTTTATGCTTAATATGCAAAAACACGCTTCTTTTTATTACGCCAATATGCTCACTTAATTTTGATAAATTTTCCTGAAAACTAAACTTAATATCTTCAGTATTTTTGCTTAACAAGTTAATGGATCTTGATTTAAAAATGTTCTTATTGATTTATGAATGTTTATAATAAAAATAATAAAGTATATTTAGGACAGCAAAATAAATGGACTAGAACCTTTTTGAGCTAAAATATTTTCTTGAGAAAATATTTTTCTATTTTATATAAACATTCCAGATATATTTATTGGACAAGCAAAATGAGAAAAATCAAATCTTGTTTTCTGAAAAATGTATTCAAATTAAGTGAGCTTGATAAATAAGATAAAATAGATTTTTTAAAATAGATTTTTAAGCATATAAGTAATTTTCCTTCTCAAGTAAATGTATCTTGATGTAAGAATATTTTTTTAATTGATTTATGTATTTTTAAACCTGTTTATATCTAATATCTGAAGTCATTTTCCTTCTCAAGTAAATGTTCTTAAATCTTGATTTAATAATTTTTTTGATATTTATAATGGAAGACAAAACATGACAAAATACTAAATGTGAAACTCATTTTTTGCAGCTTGGCTACTTTTATTGATTACTTCTTGGACTTTTTTGAAGCTTGACAGATGCAGTCACTATGAATTTTTGTCGTGAAGAAAATGTAATATGTAAATATAGTTCACAATTATGTTCCACGGAAATGAACAGCATAGTGGTTTGGAGCAACAAATAAGTTTCAGGTGAACTAATGACGTTTTTGTGACTTTGACCATGTTTTCCCATAATGCTGTTGGATGTCTTTTCCAGGCAGACTAACTCCGGAAAGCGTGGCGTGTGGGTGTATGAAATCGGGACGTTCCCTCACTTCACAGACGTCGCTCCTGGAGAAGTGCCGGATTTTCCTTTGGATTCCCAGCAGCACAGGAGCACAGGAAGCCACAGCCATCAACACCCGGTGTATCCTGACCTGGATGGAGTCTACCATCGTCCAGAACACCCTCCACCCACCCAGGTGCACACGGTTCAGTTCAGGCCTGAGCGACAGACGGTCGTGGAAATCGAAAATGAAGACGACATCGAGGTTGAGGGTCAGCACGAGTGCTTTATTTACTACAGTAATGAACAACTTTGTACTTTTCTTGAGCCAAAACCATCTCTTTTTTTTTTGTCTTGTTCTTTGCATACAGTATTTACATACAACTCTGGTGAATGTGGCGGACAGAAATGCTCCAAATTTGGCGAATGTAGGAATTATCCGAGCGGACGATGCTGCCAGTGTAAACCTGGATACTACGGCAATGGAGTTCAGTGTGTATCTGACGGTAATGCCTCTATAATGGACTTCAGTTGCTACTGGTTTCATTTCTTTTATAGAAAACATCGAGGTTGAGGGTCAGCACGAGTGCTTTATTTACTACAGTAATGAACAACTATGTACTTTTCTTGAGCCAAAACCATCTCTTTTTTTTTTGTCTTGTTCTTTGCATACAGTATTTACATACAACTCTGGTGAATGTGGCGGACAGAAATGCTCCAAATTTGGCGAATGTAGGAATTATCCGAGCGGACGATGCTGCCAGTGTAAACCTGGATACTACGGCAATGGAGTTCAGTGTGTATCTGACGGTAATGCCTCTATAATGGACTTCAGTTGCTACTGGTTTCATTTCTTTTATAGAAGTGTTTTCTTATGGTGGGTCATGATCACTGACAGCAGAGAAAAATAATAAATATAGTAAATAATAGATACATTTAGAAACACATTAATGGTCACATGACTTGAAGATAAAAAAATGGTTAGTATTTATGATTTCAAAAGTATATATAGTATATACATATAAATATATATGTGTGTGTGTGTGTGTATATATATATATATAATAATAAAATGCACAATATTTAGTCTAATAGACTTCTCATGACATACATAAAAAAAATATTTTTATATATTATATTAAAATATGTTATTTCCTATTATTTAAAAAAATATGTATTTATTTCTTTTTTTTAATTATGATTTTTTTAAATCGCTTGTTTGTATTACTTATAGAAGTGTTTTCTTATGGTGGTTCATGATCACTGACAGCAGAGAAAAATAATAATAAATATAGTAAATAATAGATACATTTAGAAACACATGAATGGTCACATGACTTGAAGATTAAAAAATGGTTAGTATTTATGATTTCAAAAGTATATATAGTATATACATATAAATATATGTGTGTGTGTGTGTGTGTGTATGTATATATATATATATAAATAGTGGCGCTTGTGCCACTGCTCTCAAACGTTAGTCTGGGGCCCTGTCATATAGTGAATGTAAAAATGTAAAGAATCTTATTTAGCTCAGGGTTATTATAGTTTACTAAAACTGAAAATAAAAATAAACTAAAAAAAAATTTTTTCCCCCCTAAAACATCTTTATTATTTGAAACAAAATAACGTTAACTGAAACATATCACACTGAAAAATAAAATATAAAAAGCTTATTTCATCTAGCTGTCAAGGCAGCATTTCTCATTTTAATTGAGTTTAACTCGATGCAGTAAAATAACTAAAACTACATTTGAAATAAAATCAATAAAAATATATGCTGTAGACATATATAAAATTAGCAAAAACTGCTAAAAAAGACAAAAGTACACAACAAAATTACTCAAACTTAAAATATAAAAATAAAAATTTGAGTTGAATTACTGAAATAAATGAACTTTTCCATGACATTCTAATTTACTGAGATGCACCTGTATGTCACGAAGTAACACATTTGCATAATGTCTGCCCACGTTCTATGTCGCCAACTTGCCCGCCCACAAACAGTAAAATTTCCGTGTGGTTAACATCATGTCGAGAAGACGCTGTGTCCTACACTGTGAGAGTAAATTTGTTTCATCACATCTTATAATTACCACAAACTTGTTAACACTTGACACTTACCACTGAGAAACGTCCTGCTCCAGTCGTGCTTGCGAATCAGTCTCTTGTCGATCAGCCACTTCAACCGTTTTATCTCTTTTGTGATGTATCATTGCTGCAGGGATATTCAGACTCTTGTGTTTGACATCAGTTAGACTATAATGGTAATGGTTTTATTAAATCATGTTATTTAATCGGTTGTGCTGTGTTGTAGAGGTGCAGCGTCCTGTGGACCCGTGTCGCATCGGCACTCATGACTGTGACATCCCTGAACGCGCTCGCTGCAGCTATACCGGAGGATCGTCCTACATCTGCACCTGCCTGCCGGGATTCATGGGAGATGGGCGCAGCTGTCAGGGTGGGTCTCTACCGCTCTATCGCAGACATGCTTTCATATATACGATTTATTAGAAGAATTCACACCATTTTAATGTCCACCAGGCTAATTTATTATTATTTATTTGGTCATTATTGACTAATTCATTTTCCTGATTGATTAATACAAGCAGTCATTCTGCCTAGTTTCAATTCAACAGTCTGGTCAATGGATAGTGCTTTTTGATAGTTTTAATATTAATATTTTAATTTAATTTGAATACAGCAATTTTGTCTTCAAATCTTTGTTGTTATTAAATTGCATTTGTTTATTGGCCACTACTGTAAATGCAAGATTTTTTTACATCTGCACATCTTCAGTAGTTATCAGACAAATATGTGACTGAGCACTTTACATTGGCTGTAAATGATTTGACATGATGTTAATGGATTTGACCTCAGTCTGATTATTAGCCGAGAGGGAAAACAGACACACAGTTGTGTTCAGCTTTCATTTCTGTTTCCCATCACTACTGGACAACTCGTTCATTTTTCAGTATTTTTGCACTTGCTTTACTTACACATTTAACTTCATTCATATTTAGTTTTATTTATTATTTAAATGTAATACATTTGTTTAAAGGGGTCCTATTATGCATTTTCACTTTTTCAACTTTAGTTAGTCTGTAATGTTGCTGTTTGAGCATAAAAAAGATCTGCAAAGTTACAAAGCTCAAAGTCCACTTCAAAAGGATATATTTTATTGAACAGAAATCCCTTTTCAAAAACTACAACGAACGACTCGTTTGGACTACAACGCATATTTTCCGGGATTTGTGATATCACAAATATCGATGAATGGGACGAGACCTGGTTGAGCTGCACTAGAGAAGGCAATGAGTGTTATTACAATGTCGGAGACACGCTAGCTTTCCACACGTAGCACTGTAGACACAAACAATACCGGACGCTGGAGCACACATAGGGAACACTATTTATATACACAGGAAGAGGGGATGACGAGACACACCTGGGAGCAATGAAACATCATGGGAAACACCTGGGACAAATTAAACATGGGAAAGGAAGGCACATGAGGAAAACAGCCACAAAACATGGAACAGAGTCTAACAGAATGCCCCCCTCTGGAAGGCGTGTCCTCACGCCCCATAACATCCAAAGGGTGTACCCAGTACCCGTTCGGGGCGCCATGGCGGAGCAAGGGACTCGGGAGGTCACGGCGGAGCAGAGGACTCGGGAGGCCGTGGCAGATCTGGAGACTCCGGAGGCCATGGCGGATCTGGAGACTCCGGAGGCCATGGCGGATCTGGAGACTCCGGAGGCCATGGCGGAGCAGCCGGCTCTACGGCTGGAGCCATGCTACCCCCCCCCAAAAAAATCCTTGGGGAAATTTACGGTGCTGTATTTGAGGCCTGAAGCCCTCCCTGGGCCTAATGGGGGATTTGGAGCCCTCCCTGGGCTTAACTCGGAAATAGGAACCCTCCCTGGGCTGAACTCGGAAACAGGAGCCCTCCCTGGGCTTAGCTGGGGATCTGGAGCCCTCCCTGGGCTTAACTCGGAAACAGGAGCCCTCCCTGGGCTGAACTCGGAAACAGGAGCCCTCCCTGGGCTGAACTCGGAAACAGGAGCCCTCCCTGGGCTTAACGGGGCAGCAGGAGCCCTCCGTGGGCTATACTCGGGAACAGGAGCCTTTCCTGGGCTGAGCTGGGGATCAGGAGCCCTTCCTGGGCAGAACTTGGGATCAAGAGCTCTTCCTGGGCAGAACTTGGGATCAGGAGCTCTTCCTGGGCAGAACTTGGGATCAGGAGCTCTTCCTGGGCAGAACTTGGGATCAGGAGCTCTTCCTGGGCAGAACTTGGGATCAGGAGCTCTTCCTGGGCCTGGGCGGAACTGGGGATCAGGAGCCCTCCCTGGGCTTAACCGGGGATCAGGAGCCCTCCGTGGGCTTAACCGGGGATCAGGAGCCCTCCGTGGGCTACTCTCGGGAACAGAAGCCCTTCCTGGGCTTGACTGGGTATCAGGAGCCCTCCGTGGGCTTAACTGGGTACCAGGAGCCCTTCCTGGGCTGAACTGGGGATCAGGAGCCCTTGCTGGGCTGAACTGGGGATCAGGATAGCGCTTACGTGGTGAAGGCATGCTCTGAGGGTGAGGTGCTCTGGGTGCTCTGGAGGAGCAGGCACAGCAAAGCGCTTTCGAGGAGCTCGCACTGGAGCGAGCTCGGGGCCTTCATGAATGCATGGCTGGCTTGCCATATTAATGTTAATACGGCTTGCCACATTAAGGTCTGGCGGGCTTGACTGAGGAACGGCCGGCTTATAGGTCCCGGATCGCGATCGGAATCTCTCCAGACACCGGATGACTGCCTCCTTCCAGCCGAGGTTGGTGGTGTCTGGGAGCTCCGTGGGATGATGGAATGTTATCCCGATCCGGAACAGCATTGCGAGGGTTTCCCCCTCGAGGGAGCTGGTGAGGGCGAGCGGCACGAATGCCCTAGCGAAAACAATGAGGTATGGGCTCGCCTGAGCCAACGTGATGAACTTTACGTGTTCCTCCATTTGGGGATGTGGAGGAACGCGTGGAACAAACGGGATAAAACAAAACACTTTTCAAAAACCGGAAATTAAACACGGGGAAGGGATGCCGCTTACTGTTGGGTCCGGTATTCTGTCACGATCTGCTATGTTGCGGGAACACAGAGCAAGGAACGAGGAGAACAAGAGTACAGAAACCAAGGAATTTATTCATCTTCACGGGGAATCACACGTAGCACTGTAGACACAAACAATACCGGACGCTGGAGCACACACAGGGAACACCATTTATACACACAGGAAGAGGGGATGACGATGTAGGATCTATGTCTCACAACGGACCCACCTACATGATGGAGACACACATCAAACCCTCACATTCCATTGAAACAAATCGAAGAACTCCTATCCAACAGATGCAGTCGTAAAACTCATGCAGGGTCAGTGAAGGTGAAGCATTTCCTGGACTGTTTGGCTATCTCTCAAGATATGCTAAAAAAGACAGTACTTTCACAGTGCTTAAACGGGCTTTCAAGGACCAGATAGGGATACCCCTGACCATTTGACGCATAAATTGCTAAAACCCGATCAACAAAAGAGACAATTTTATAGCTCCCTGTCCAGCAGGAGATTCTCCAGCAGACTCTCAGATCTGACCTGAGAATGACCGAAGGTTTTCCCCTGCATTCCAAAGGAAAGAGACAAGATTTCTTTGATCACGCGCTTACCATCAGAGCGACTACCACCTCTCAAACTCAAACACTTCAGTGATACTTCGTTGAAATCTTCAAA